GGTTATAAAATAAAGCTTCTTCAATGACATAGGAAATTATTTCTCCTAATTCATCTTGTCTGATGCATGACACAGGTCTCTGCTTTACTATGTGAGATGATGTTTGTGTTGTATGGAAGGATACTTTTAAATTTTCTTCTTTATGAGAAAAAGTTGCTACAAAATCAAAAAATGCAGTGCTAGAAGATTCGAAGAAATGGCGTAGTCTATAAGTGAAATACAGCACATGATTATAGGCAGGCCCCCTTTCAAATCTGAGAGGAGTTAAAATGATGAGAGTGTGGGGAAACCAGTAGAAAGAAAGATTAGAAAATATTTATTCTAACTCTTGCTTTTCTCCTTTTGCAATTGCATTTATTAATTTTCAATAATTATTAGAAATTCTCTGGTGCCAGCATTAGCAACCTATCTCATTGAAATATTTGGGCTTCATGACAGGAAACTTCAATTCATCATTTGAAGGCATGTTAACTCTCTAATAATGGTGTATCATCACTAAGTACACACATTAAAGACACATGCATCAAAGTGTAATACTCCATGCCAAGTAAGAAATGTCATTAATGCTTGAGGCTTATTTGTTTTTCCGAAATGTATCTTTCAGTTTTATTTTCAAAGGAAGGTGTGTGTGTGTGTATTTCCTTCATTTATCTTTGTAATGCAATTTCTTGTCAACTGGGAGAGTAATAGTTTAATACATTTGACACCATATAAATTAAATCCAGGTGGTTTATTTTTACCTTAGTTCACTCAGAAATCAAAAATCAAAGTTTATGTGTGTATGTGTGTTTGTGTGTATGTGTATATATATATGGTATGTGTATGTGTTTGCGTATGTATATATATACACAAACACACACATATACACATACACATATACATCTATACATTCCTCTATATAATATATATACACATATATATGTGTGTATATACATATGTGTGTGTGTGTGTGTGTGTGTGTGTGTGAATAGAATGGAAAAAATCTCAAAACCTAGAGTGATTTGGTTATCATATTAGACATTTTTTGGCTCAGAATGATACTTAAGCCAGTTTACAAGGAAAAGTCAATTGAAGGATGTTAGTGAGATGCTTTTTTTTTAAGTCTTCTAATTCTGGCTTTCAGGAGGGAATATGACATTTTGGTAAATTAGAAGTAGAGGGTGCTGGTTCCTTTCAGAAGATGTAAAACGCTTCACTTGGTACTAATGTACATAAAGCAATTAGTTACTTGTCATGATGGGTGTTCCCTAAGGCAGTGCACTTTCTCCATTAGTATTTATATCTACATGCCATTATACATTGGGCAGCACTAAATAGACAAGAGACGTTCAGAGAATTACTCAAGTCATGTGCCATCGAGAAAAGAGATATTGGCAAACATTATTAGCATACAGGTGGAGTTGAAGCTCTTAGTTTCCAGTAAGATTATTTTTAAATGCTTTTGGAAAAAGCAACATAGAGAACTGATTAACCCTTAAAGAGGAAGATGAGTTTAAAACATTATTGGAAAATATTTTTGCTAGTGGACTCGATCATGACAATTTTGTTAAATATCATCTCCTCTCCATTCTTTTCTGAATATTCTGACCTGTTCATCTAGGAAATCCAAAGTTCTCTTCTATTTTCAAAATATTAAGAAGACATTAAAGGAACTCAATCAGAGAATCTTAAGTATAAACCAAACAGATCCAGTTACATTTTAGGCTTTGGGTATGGATCTAAAATGAAAGCATGATTATATTATCTTATGTTATTTGCCCCTAATTTGGTCTTATTCATATATCTCTGTCTTCATGCTAAGCTTTTGAATATGCATGTTTTTAAAGATAATATAACTTGACTCGTTTCAAATATGTTCAGTTTAAAATACTATGAGTTTTGCTCCACCAGTTAATCTCCCTCATTCACTCAACTTGCAGAAGATATTTATAAATATTTTAAATATTAAAAGCATTGAAACTAATCAGAGAGCTTGTCCTCTGGGATGGTGCACCATGAGGTTCATTTGTTATTCAGAACTTGTCACACTGTGTACTGTCCCTCTGGTTCATCTCGGTCTCATACTTATTCACGATGCTTTATCAGGACTGATAGAATAACCTGCATAAGTTATACTGAAACACCATAATGTAAAAGACTTTTGTTGGCTGTTTTTTCTATTTGCTTCAAGAATTTTAACTATTCTTATCATTCTTCTAAAAATTATGATCCTTCTCCATCTAAATTTCCTATGCTTCATCATGAGAATTTAAAAGAGGTGGTTACTAATCTTAGAAATCATACACTTACCTATACAAATAATTTATTAAAATACAAAAATAAAGCATTTTACTGACATTGGTTGGAAATATTACTATTTAATGGGATTCATTGTTTCATTGCATATTTCAAAGTTCCAAATACAAAGCATATAAGGCAATTTAAATATATGATAATTAATATGAAACTTTCCGACTCACAGGAATTTTGACCTGAAAGATTTAAAATTCACCATTCATCTTCATGGTTTTTGAGTCTATAAATATCTAACTAATACTTAGTAAAGCAAAAATTATTCATGGTTTAAAACAATATATCTCTAAATCACATGTTAAAAATCTTAGAATTTAATGATCATGTCAGTTAAATACAAGTCTTCTATACTTATTATATTTTTATAGCCATTGGATGGTAAGACATAGAATAAAGAAAATTGGATAATAAAATACAAACTCTTAAAACATGAATCGAATAATACTTCTACATGCACATTTGTGTTTAAATTTCTCTTCTGTGCATGGACCACTAACATTATTATAAGAGTTGAGGCCTGTGGTAAACAGAAAAAATGCATCGTGTCCTTGAAGAATTGTTTCTATCATGAATCTTGAACAGGGAGAATTTAGCCTTGAATGTGTACTTAAGAGAAAAATCTAGAGAGAATAAAAGAGACTGAATAGTTTGTAAATACTCTTGGATCAACATCCCTCAGAATGAGTCAAATAGGAAAATTCTTGCCAGACAGATTTAAAATATTACACACAATAAGCAACTAGGATGGGATCTAAGGATTGTGGAACTTTCTGCTAATTATAAAATCCTATACAATGCTATTTCCTTGCTGTTTTTTAAACAACAACCATTCAAGTGTACTTCCCTCATTTGCAGCCTAAAGAGGCTTGACAGTTAAGTTAATGTTAGCTGAACTGGTGCTAAAGTGGATCAGAGTATGCAAATGCTAATTTTTAAATTTAATCATTGCAAATATTTTTATAAGAGATTAAAAGAAATATATTAGCTATTTATTTCAAGGTCAAATATGAAAAATCTCAAGTCTTTGTTTCTAAATATTAGAGTAAGAAATTGTTTAGTAGTCATGCATAAAGACCTATTCTCATCTATATAAAATGTTGTCAATTTTTTTTTCCTTAATGGTAATACAATGGGATAGGGTACATACCAATTTTTCCCAAGTACTTCATCTGAATATTGTTTTATGAGGCCTCATGGCACAGTTATAAATATCAAGGCACCAACTGAGTTATGCTTCAGAGTTTCATCTGCTTTTGTTTCAAAGGAAGAGGCAAGTGAGTTCAGAATTTGATCAACATGCCATTTAGCAGGTATTTATTCAGTGATTACTTTGTACTAAGTATGTCGATGAACACAGACCCAGCTTCATAAATGTGGGGCCTGGTACAAAAAGAAATTTTAAGGAGTCTTCTTCAAAATTTAATAATTGCAATATGTAAACAACTGAGCATTAAATCAAGCCCTTCCAAGAGAGTATCCTTGTGTGACCACCCAAGTCCCATCCATTAACTTACACCATCTGCTGAGCAATATGGAGCACCTAAGGAAGAGTATGACATTTCAACTTCAGGTCAAAACAAAGAAGGGCATAAGGACACGCATTATGCTGCTCCTCATTGGAAACTAGCTAGAATGACTGATTTGCGGAAGTCAATAAAGATTAATGAGGGCTGGGGATGTGGCTCAAATGGTAGCATGCTCTCCTGGCATGCGCGGGGCGCTGGGTTCAATCCTCAACACCACATAAAAATAAAAAATAAAAATGAAGTTGTTGTGTCCACCAAAAACTAAAAAATAAATATTAAAAATTCTCTCTCTCTCTTTTAAAAAAAAAAAAGATTTATGAAAAACTTAGAACCTAAAAGACATGCTGAATTTAACATAGTGAAAATGGGAAAATAAAATTATTTTAGACAAGAACATGTAACTAAGCATCAGCATAGGGGACAGAAAAAAGCAATGTGTGCTGAATGTGTGTACATTGAGTTCATGTAGAATAGACAGGAGAGATAAAGTTAAAATTGTGGGTTGAGATCAAAATAGAGAATGACATGAATGCTAGTATAGCGAGTTTGAATTTCACCTTATAAGCAAATGGAAACCTTTGAGTAATCTGATCTCAAGCAGGCTGAAGGATGAAATGTAGAAGATGAGGAGAGATACTTAGGTCCAACGACTAGTTAGTAAACCAGTTATGCTAGTCAGTGGGGCCTGGATTAGAAAGAGAGCAATATAAGTTAAAAAAAATAAGGATTGAGTATGAAAGGCATTGCAAATGAAGTATTGACAGACGTGAAAGACAGTGGAAAAGAGATTATTTAGATGATCAGGACACCCAAGCAAATCAGCCAAAAAAACAGAAAAGAAAGTCTTTCCATAATTCAGAAATACTTCGTGATAAATGAAATGATGGGTATATTCATAAACTTGGAAGTAGGAAGTATGCAATTTGATAAGAAGAGATTATTTGGCCATAAACAATGGAGATTGATTTTTACAAATGAGAATATTCATTATATTTGAGAGTCTGAGGGTTAAATCTATGGGTCTATAAGAGTTTGGAAAATATATTAATATATTTATCTTATTACTGCTTTCTCTAGTAGAACATTCAAGGGTTACACTTATTCTCAGAAAATTGAGAAATATCTTTTTCTATGCTAAGTGTTATAGGAGAACAATTCTAACTCAGTCATCTTATTTCTCAGTACCTGAACCTGTCATGTTCAAACCAACTAACACACAGAGATCACCTCTGAAGCACCAGGCACAGGAGAAAGTGTTGGAAAGTAAACAAGAACAAGAAAAGATTTCTTCAACTTGTCCATAGACCTACAGAGAAAAAAAGATGGTCCCCATACTGATAGAAACAACAAGCACAAGAAGTCTTTCCAGTGACTCAAGGAGTCATTTATAAGGGCGGTCCTCACACTGAATTTTCAAGATTTGAAGTCTAGATATATCTAATAGCCTATAGGTATTAAAAAGTTAATAAAATTTGTAGTAATGTATATTTTTTACAGCTTTCCCAAAGATTAATATAACAAAATCAAATTCTTGAGTAATAATTAAACATTTACTGTTTAAATGTTTTAAACCTTTTGTCTAATAAATATAGACTAAAGCAATGTTTCAAAATGAAGAATATAGTGGGCTAAGAGTATAAGGACATATTTCATGTAGCTTTTTATTGATACTTTTTCTTTCTGTAAACTTAAGTACCTATTTTATTTTTGAACTCAAAACATTTGTTATAGAAGTCATACCATGCTTAGACATTGCATAATTGAGCCATATGTACTTTAGGACAAATATTGGGAAATGCTATGTTCAATACCAATGTCTATACTACTTAAACAATGGAAGCATCAGGTAAGTAACAACATTTGGACAGCAAGTCAATATGACTATGAAAGGTCTCCAATAATGAGCAAATTCAGACCAATACACAGTTTGAGTATTTGGCCTTCTTATTGACAAAGGTTGCTTTCAATCACACTGTATCTATTACCATATCAATCATCACTCTAAATGAATACAATGCTATCATTGACAAAGACATCACTTAAGCTGAGAAAGTAAAGATTCTAAATAAGAAAATAATGAAAGGTATGTTGTTCACTGTAGGAAGAATGAAAAATATACCTTAAGAATCTATTTATAGACTGATAAAGACATTGGGGCCCAATATGAGAAAAAATGCTTACAGGCTCACAAGGATCTTGAAAAGAGATGATAATTAATATTACATTGTTATTTATTAAAGTTAATGCAACTGAGTATTTTCCATGGTATACAAATTAAGATATGGAATTGAACTGATAAAAATGATTTACATGCAGGATTCAAATATTGGCAGCTTTATAGAGTGAAATGTCACTATTTTGCTGTACCTTCAAGCTTTACATTTCCTCTTTTGAATCCTTGTCAGCCTTCATGAACAGCAGAGAGTTTAATCAATGCTTGAGGTAGCAATAGCATAACATTAAATATCTCTTGCTAAAAATCAAAATGGTGTTTAGTAAGCATTATGAAGAAAAATGGCACACACATGTGTGTCCTAGTTATCGAAGTACAAATTACACTTTGTTCCATATTTTCAAACATTACAGATTTAATAGAAGCTAGTATTTTAAATTAAAAAAACTGTTTTATGACCACAGTTTTATCCTAAGGCATTTGGCTTTTGGTAAGAAATTAAAACAACAGGAAGCTCAAAATCTTTCGTCGTTACACTTAACAGCAATTTTTTAAAAAAAAAAATTTCTGTGATGCAAAGCACTGTGCAAAGAGATACTGTGTGTGCCTGTGTGTATGTATGTGTGTGTGTGTATGTGTGTGTGGTGTGTTTTAATGTTCTGGATTTAGTTTGTAATTTTCTTCCATTGTAAGGAAATATCCTATTAACATTTACATTGACTCAGATAAAGGGAAGAAAAGGTGTTGTCTTGGCATAAATAATGTAAAATATCAATTTAGTTTAATTCGTTCAGTACCAAAAAAATTCCCGGAACTCAGGAAACAAAAGGAGAAAGATGGTATAAAATGACAAAGGAAATCAAGAGTGAGATTTCAAGCAGATTCAGCTGAATGGAGGGACCCTGTGGAATAGCATGACACATTTGGCCATTAAGGAAAATCATACAAATGAGTGTGAGAAATGGCTGGACAATTTTATGGTAGGGGGTAGGAAGAGCGTGCAAAGTGTGGATGCATAAAGGTCACAAAGAAGGGAAATGGGAGGAAAGAGGCTTACAGCAATCCACCTTTATTAGGCCAATGATTACTGCTCACCTAGAAATTGCTTCTCAGATCTCTGAAATATCTGGGCTTTTAAGTAAAAAGGAAATACTGTTGCTACTTATGAATGTTTTAAATGATCAGGATGGATGTCTTCTTCAAAGGTTCTGAGAAAACATTTTGAACAGAAAACTAACCTCCTTTTGCTTTTGAAATAATTTCTACAGCTTAAGTTTATTTTGCTGCTATAAATACAGAATTGAAAATTTTGTGTACTAAGGAAAAATAAAAAAATTAACATACAAATTGTTTTTTAAAATAAATAAAATTTTATTAAATATGCATTCCTGTATTTACAAGGTAAGTAAACATACCTTCAACAAGTAAAAAATTTAAGGCCATGGTCAAATACATCTCATGTTTGAGAACTTAGTGTATGTTAAAATGAACTTAGTGGTATGATTCTTTTCTCTCATCACTCACTTTATTACAAAGATAACTCATAATTATATCAGAAATTTCATTTTGTTTCTTATTGGCATATATCTGTCTCCATACTTCCCAGGCACCTAGAATTGACTTGAATTAAACAAGGTAGACTAGCCTTTGACATTAACTCCTAACACAGCACTACTGTTAACACCTTCATTTTTGCTCCAAATCTTGATACATTTATTATTTTTCTTGAGAGAGAGAAAGAGAGAGAGAGAGAGAGAGAGAGAGAGAGAGAGAGAATTTTTTTTTAATATTTATTTTTTAGTTTTCGGCGGACACAACATCTTTGTTTTGTTTGTATGTGGTTCTGAGGATCAAACCTGGGCCGCAAGCATGCAGGCGAGCGCACTACCACTTGAGCCACATCCCCAGCCTGATACATTTAATTTTAAGTATATTTGCAAATTTATGTTTCATGTTTTCTAGACTAAATATTATATATAGAGAAGGGACACACTATTCCTCTATCCAGTGGAAATAACATGAAATACTGAACTGAGTCCTTTGTTAAATCAAAACCCAAGCCTTGATATGAAAATCTACAAACCTCAATGAAAATTAAAACACTACTTTTTATTTCATGAAGTATATTGCCCTAACATTTGAGAAAGCTTTGTGAACACCAAAATAATATATCTGACATCTCCAATAAGAATGATAAATTCATTCTAAATTTAAAAAAACAGGGAAAAAAGAAAGAAAAAAACGTATATTAAGACACATTTTGTGATTTTAACTCAGAAGCTTCAGAGGATCAGATTACCCTTATGAATGAAATGAGCATAACACAGACAAGCCGTTATCTGATCACAATCCAGAAATAGAAACCAGGGACAATGAGCAGAGTTTTCTCATCAGTGTGAAGAAAGAGATTACATGTAGACCTATTTTAATTTTTCCAGTACCAAATGAAGAATTCATGAGTGTTAAACTTGTTTTGAAGAGGTATTGCCTAAAGTGTATGTAGAAAAAAAATTCCTAAAAATAAGTTAGAAGACAAAAACTAGCAAGAAATAAGACTTTCCTTCCAAAGGGATTCAGAAGGAAAATTTTAGCAAAGTCACACTGTAAAACCCTGGTCAGTCTGTCTAAACCCACTGAAAAGGGATAAGAGAACAACTAAGGATATTATAAAGACATATGAGTGGCACTTGGCACCTATGTCTCAGAAAGATTAGCTAATCCTTGCAAAAATCAAAAAGTAAAATATTAATAATAGCTTAAAAGGAAGTAATATAATTTACTGTATTTTTTTCAAGCAGAGGCCTAGAAACTCAAACTTTTATTATTTGCAAAATTTTTATTCCTGGATATTAGAGCCAAAATATCTCAGAAATTCCTAGTTCTTGCCTAACATATTGAACACGTCCGTCATTCATTTGTCTTCATTTTATGAAAGATATATCTGAGAGGCAGAGAATTTTTTGAAATAATTAAAACATAGCTACTCAGGAGCTGAGGCAGCCTGAGAGTGTGGTCAAGGACAGTCTTTGAAACTTAGCAAGACCCTTCTCAAAATTTTAAGCAATGAAAAGGTCTGTGGATGTAGCTCAGTGATAGAGCTACAATCCCTCATCTGCAAATAACACCTGACAATGATAATAAAAGCAGCAAAAGAGTTAATTAATATACCACTAATAATGATAGTAATTATAATGTCATTAAAACAATAATGTGTGTTAGTCAGCTTTGCATGGCTGTAATCAAAATACCCAACATGAGTAATTTAGAAGAGGAAAAGTTTAATTTGGCACATAGTTTTAGAGGTTTGATCCATAGTGAGCTGTCTCCATTGCTCTGGGGCCAAGTGAGGCAGAAGATCAGGGCAGAAGGTCACGGTGCAGAAGCACTGCTCCAGTCATGATGCATGTGGTGTGTTGGGGCTGGGGGAATATGGACCAAGGTAAGATTAACCCTTCCATAGCACAGCCCCAGTGATATACCTCCCCAAGTCTTGCCAACCTTCCCATGGTTATCTTCCAGTGAGCTCATTCAAAGTAGGATAGATGGATTAGGTTACAGCTCTCATAGTCCAATCATTTCAGTTCTGAACATTACTGCATCAACACTGGAGCTTTTGGGGGACATCTCATATCCAAACCACAACACCGTACAACTATGTAAATACCTATTTCTTATTCAAAGCAATTTAGCATGTATCTTCAAAGAAGAAATATTACCAGATCATTGCTTTACTTAGTTTCTGCCCATGCAATTTCTTTTAATTATCAAAATTTTGTCAAGATGCTTTAAATCTCTTCTCTTTAGTAATTTAATAAGATAAGTTTGTGGGGATGATATATTAGGTGTAGTTAGCCAGAGAACATTTTTATTTCAATAATTTGTCCTAGATTATTATAGTTTGGATCATTCCATCTGGTCTGAAATAACACAATGCATCACACTCAAATGATGAGGAAATAGGAATCTTTCTGGAGCTCTGAAGATAGCAGACAAGAGCCTTCTATTGGTTTACACTGAAAGTGGTCAAGAGATTAATTTGTTCACTTAAGCAGTATGTATTGAGACACTATGCAAGGCCATTTGCATGTGTTATTTTTAAAACTCACAAGAAGCTTGTAAATAAGCTATTATGCCCATTTCAAAGATGAAGAAACTTGGGCATAGTGTCAAGTAGTTTGCTGATAATGACAAGCTGGGGAAGTGGGCACCTGGTCTGTATGACTTGAGAGCCCACACAATATGCAGGCCCACACAACCTC